GCTCACCTCTCATCTCCTCGCAGGGCTTTCTCTATGGCTTCAGGAAGCTCTGAACGCAGCAGATCCTGCAGGAGGAAGATTTATGTTGTCATGACGACGGCAAACATGAGAACGGCAATTTGTCGCGCGTCACGCGAACGTGTTTGTCGAAAACACAGGAACGTGACAGACGGACAGTCGGACGGACGGACGGGACAGATGGAGGGATGGATAGATGGTGGTGGCTACGTACGTGTGTGATGGTGGGTGATACAGCATGGACAGTAGACTGATAACGGTGGGTGTAGGGTGTATAGGTGTGTAGGGGTGTAGATAGATGGTGGTGGCTATGTACATACGTGTGTGATGGTGGGTGATACAGCATGGACAGTAGACTGATAACGGTGGGTGTAGGGTGTATAGGTGTGTAGGGGTGTAGATAGATGGTGGTAGCTATGTACATACGTGTGTGATGGTGGGTGAGCCGCGACACAGCGTGGACAGTAGACTGATAACGGTGGACACACTCGGACTGCCTTTAGACTCCGGTGTTGCCGCAACGCTGCCCGGTGTGCCCGATATCACAGAAACATTGCCTGCAACACACGACAACAAGGTTACAACATTGCCTGCAATGCATGGCAACACAAGATTCAGGATTTCAAGATTTCAAGATGTTTATTTGTGCTAAACGTGGAAAAATCAAACAGTTATAACTTTGGTTATACAATGCACGGGTATGGCAAAAGGACGATGCGGTCATCGAGTCCGCCATACATTATAGTAACAATACATACGACATTCCAAGACATGAAGTTAAATGACATTTACAAAACATGACTTGATCTGATGATTACAATACACACAATACATTACAATACATGACACAATATGACATTACAACACATTAAAACCTTACAAAAACATTACATTACATTACATTACATTATAATACTGTATACGTTAGACAGTAAGATTTTTCAATTTATAATTGCTTTAACATTTTTTACATTCGTCTTACATATCGGGTAACAATTTTGTCTAAAATATAATATAGCTAATTCAAAAACCTAATTTGACCAATTATTGGTAGGCAAGTTAGTTGAGTCGTTTTTATATATGGGTATGACTTTTGCTATCTTAAGGATATTTGGGAATACACTATTCTTAAAGCATTTATTGAATATATTACATAATATTGGCGGCAATATCTTATTAGACATTTTTAAGAACCCGTTTGAAATATCATCTGGTCCTGGCGATTTATGAATATCAAGACTATTTATTATATCTGATACTTCTTGCTCGTTTACAGGTCTGAGAAAGAAAGTTTTGGTGTTATGTTCACCTAAGAATGATTGAAATTGCATGTTTGTACTTTTTAAATTCTCAGCCATGTTTGGTCCAATTTTTGCAAAAAAATGATTAAAATAAATGTATTATAAATATCTGAAGTGTCAGAAGTAATACTATTATCCTCCCTTATGAAATTATCCAAGATTACCGACGATATATTTTTTATCTTCACAATATCATTTATAGTTTGCCACGTTTTCTTTACATTATGTTTGTATCCTATTAATTTATCTCTATAATAGTTACGTTTTGTAGTTTCTTTAAGATGTGTTAGTTTATTAGAATAAATTTTGTAAAAGTCTTTAGTTAAATCATTTCCTTGTAATACTTGAGTTTTGAACATTCTCCTACGATTTCTGATCGACTGTAAGAAGCATTTAGTAATCCATGGTTTCTTCATTTGTTTATCTTCTTTCCTAGTTAGCGGTCTGTAAGGAGCGTGATTATCTATGACTTGGAACCATACCTGAATCAGAGTAGAAAGTTGGTCACTACATGGCAGGTTACTAATTGCATGATTGTGAAATGCCTGACCTAGGTCATTCAAAAATTGCTGTAAGTCAAAATTATTAAAGTTTCTAATCCAAACCTTCTTGTTATCCTGCTTATAGTTTATTGCTTTGATCAGTATGAATATAGGTAAGTGGTCAGACACTTCGTGTAGCAGTATTCCTGGGATAATGTCATTAAAAAGATTGTTTGTATAGAAGTGATCAATAAGAGTATGAGATGTATCAGTGATTCTTATAGGTTTGGTAATAAGTGGTACGCATTCATTAGTAAATAAGAAGTTTAAATAGTCACTTGTTTGTAAATGGGATTCATGATTCAAAAGATTAATATTAGTCTCCACATATATAATATTTCATGTTAGAGTTACCAATTTCGGTCAGTCTCCTGAAAATGTTATTGGAAGTTACCAATATTATGATTAGGATGTCGATAAACTACTCCAATAACTGTTTTTGCATGATTATGATGCATTTCAATTTCAATCCATAAATCCTCACATTTTTCATGATTTATTTTTATGCCATCTTTAATTCGAAATTTAATATTGTTTTTGACATACATGCCGACTCCACCTGCTGCGATAGTCGAATCCTTAGGAATAAATTTATAATGTATAATTGGGGAGGTCAATGCTGTAGCAAGTTGAGCCATGTAACTTAGTTTCCGAAATGGCTATAATGTCCGGGAGGGTATCAACTTCCATTAGGATCCCCTGTAATCTATTTAAATTTTTTTGTAAGCTCCTAATATTAAGATGAATTATTAGTAAATCATTATATTTCTTTCTCGATAATAAGTTAGAAAATGATTGCTGATCTAGATAGTTACTAGGTGATGCTGTTATATTCGTATCAGAGTTATACTCATCGTTTTTGCCCGGTGCAAAAGCATAGCTGTCTGTTAGACATGATAATTTTTGAAGGTCAAGTCCTGGGGTATTCTTAGCTATTATCGCGTCAAATTCAACGCTATCCATAGCACTATATAAAAATATAAGATCTACTATCTGTTACAGTTCAACTTTATGTGTTCAGGCGATTTAGTATCTCTTCAGATGTGATTTCAATTACTTCGCTATGTTCATTCTTCCTGAGTAAGATTTTGCCGTGGCGTGTCCATAGAAATTTGTATTCGTGTTCCCGTCTAAACTCAATGCATTTCGCAAATAATACACGCTTCATCTTTGTTAGACTTTCATTGATATAAACTTTGCTATTGCTAGTGAATCCTAGCATATCGCATGTTATTACCTTCTTCCTGGCTGCGTATAACTTATCTCGTATTACTCTCCTTACAAATTTCACAATGATTACGGGAGGTGCCCCAGTTCTCGGTTTAGGTAGTCTATGAGCCACGCTAATGTCGTTGCTAACCATGTGGACTCCTAGTTGTTCCCCTATTGCCAGTATAACTCTCTCTATATTTTCGTTCTCTACATGGGGAACTCCAGCTATTTCTATATTTTCCCGTCTCCCATACTGTTCTAGATCATCCAGTGTTTTGGCATTATCTTTACCTTTCCGTTGTAATTTTCCAATATGGTTTTTTAATATGCCATTTTCCTGTTCCAGGACTGTTATTCTGTCAGTATCTTTCTTGTTAATGAGTTTCATATTCTCATACTCTCTACTTATGAACTCCTGACTCTTTTTTATGTCATCCATGTCGGACTGCAGAGCTCTAAAACTCTCGTTAACGGTCTTATTAATCATGTCCGTGATTTCAGTTTTCATTACTGACATTGTTTTGATCAGCCTTTCTTCCATTTTTCCCATTGCCGTACTGAAGGTATCATCCCCTGCGTGTGACTGCGACCTAGTTTTAGACATGTCAAGAGATTACAATCCTGCCTGCAATCCATGGCAACACGGTGACAACATTGCCTGAATCGTGTTGCAACGTGATAACACTGTTGCCTGCAGCTCGCAGACAACAAGACTGCAAACTTGTCCTTAATTACTGTTACAACGTTACCTGGAAAACATTATTACAAAGTGGTGTATGCTACATGCGACATCACGATTAAAATGTTGCCTGCAACACGTTGCAACACGGTTACAAAATTCCCTGCAACATATCAATGCGTGGACGATTACCCACAGGCACTATCGACACGTGGCTCCCTCTACCTGCCAGAATAAATATTTTCTCTGATTTTAGGTTTTCCGGGTAAAAATTCGATTACACAAATTCTATTAGCGAGGTGAATATATTTACTATATGCATATATGTGTAGATAGCTATTTATAGCAGCTATCTAGCCGTTATACACAGGGAATTGTGTTGCCTCCTCACCCACACGATGGGATAGGCTCCCTGGACTTCCCCCAGACTGGGACTCAGTGAGACTCGTGTGTTTTCCGAGCAGAAACAGAGATGAGAGAAGAGGGAGAGGAAGAGAAACAGATAGCTGGGTGATGCTGGGATGAGGAGAGAAACAGATAGCTGGGATGCTGGGATGGGGAGAGAAACAGATAGCTGGGATGCTGGGATGGAGAGAGAAACAGATAGCTGGGTGATGCTGGGATGGGGAGAGAATGCTGCTGCTACTACTGCTGCTGCGACTGCTGCTGCTACTACTGCTGCTACTACTGATGCTGCTGCTACTACTGCTGCTGCTGCTACTACTACTACTGCTACTACTGCTGCTGCTGCTACTACTACTACTGCTACTACTGCTGCTG